TCGTCAATTAGCTTTAACGGATCACACCGTTGGTCGCGGTCGGAGCAAAAATATAAATTGCTTCGAAAAACAGATCAAAAAGAAATGACGATTGGTACGATCTGACATTACCGGGTGAGTCGTATCTATCGCCGCTTAAAAGATAAATAGCGCAGCCCAAACTCGATTTCGTCAAGGACATTATCCTACGGTGGTAACCAAACTTGCCCGTAAAGCGTGAGTGCGCGCATTTTTTTTCTCGACCGTTCGACCGGTTGTTTTTCGCAGCAGGCTACCCTAGTCACGTGGGGAAACCTCTAAACATCCGGGTCGAGAGGGTGTCCTTCCCGCATCTTCGACTCCTTCGGGCGGCCGCCCTCACACTGTACTACGGCCTAACAGGAACTACGGTGAATAATTTTAAAAGGCGGCATTTCAATCTTATTTTTTTTTCTCGATGGAGAAATTGTTGTGAAACGCTCTAAACTTATTCTGCTACTCTTGGTAAGGCTTTGGGACATTCGCGAAAAGCGTTATAGCAGCCTCCCGCGGCCGGTGGCCCGGCAGCCCCCGATAGAGAGTGCAGGACCAACACCACCTATAGATAAGCAGTAGGCCTCCGCACCACCATCACAGTCAGTTCGATCGAGGCCTGAGATTGGGCACGAGTGCTGCGTCAATGATCGGCCGGGGCTCGTGTTCAATCAGGGCGTCGAAGGTCGGACTGGGGCCCAATAGCCGAGTTAGCGTGATCCGAGTGTGATGACGTTTCATGAATGGGGAGGGGGCGATGCGGAGGCTTTGATTAATCTAGGTGGTGTTGGCAGGACGCCCTCGAGCGGGCAGTTTCCACGTAGAACCACATGACTAGTTCAGTTTCCGCGAATGCCACCAGTCAAGGACTCGCCGAAGGAAGCCGCGCGCTTCCGAGCTATACACTAACTCATCTCTTTTACGTCACGGCGCGGTGGTGGCGCGTTGGGCGCACTTCCGGTTTGGGGCTGTGGGCTGATGTCCCCAAGTGAGACGTGGATTCCTTCGTCGCTTTGAAAGGAGCCAGACAAAATCTGCCTTCTCGTCAAAACGCCGCGACTGGGGTTGTACCAAAAGAGTCGAGAAAGGTTTGAAGGACAGTTTTCATGTGCTCGGTTCGTCTGAGAACGTAGGTAAGTGCTGTGAAAAAGGAAAACCAGACGCCTTCGGACCACGATTGCTTAGGCGGGATGGACTTTGGGTTGAATTTACGGATACTTGTGATTATCAGATTTATTCGTTTTGTTCCAAAATGAGCGACGGAAAACCGTCAAGTTTTACGGACCACCTGCGGACAACGTCCAGTGTCTCTTCAAGTTCAAAAGGCCGCCTGATCATTCGAAAGGTCGTATGTTCTTTCAAGTGTTTCTCCTTGTCGTCTGATCTTTTAAACGACACAGGCCCGTAGACCAAACGTTTGCCTGGTAGTCCCAATAGGAAGTAAGTGCAGGCCCCAGAGGACTTTAGTTTGAAGGTTGGTAAGCAGGCTTGATGTAAAGAGTAGATACAATGAGATGTTGATCATTGTTACCAGTGGCCATCACCGACCTTTATGCCTGATTCGCTTGGTCCGATTCTGCTTGCGATTCCCAGTATCGGCGTCGACCATATCAGTTACTGTTCACGCTTTTGTAACCCGAGCCACTTCGTGACTGAAAATTGGGATCGAAATCTCATGATGCAAATCAAGCTTTAGCGTACATTCTGCACCGTCCACGAGGAATAAATCGCCGCATGACACATTATTCACTCGAAGTTTTGCGGTGTAAGGAGCCTCGGTAGTTTCGCTGAGGCCGCTCAAATAGTCAGACATGGCCAGGAAGACGTAGAATCAACGAATCGAACGCGAAACAGGGCAGAGAACTCACACCGACACCGACAATATCGCATTTTAATGGTTTGTTTACGGCCGGCGCCGAGCTTCTTGCCCACAATCAATCGCGCATACGCAGCGCCTAAGGCTTCCGCTAGGGGCGCTCCGGTCTGTTTGTAAACATGAGTTGGTGTATAAACAAGCGTCATCACCACTGTACACTTGTGAGCAATAAAAAGGTGAACAGCCCTCTTGTTGTTTTTGACGCTCCTGCAAGTTTTGGAACAAGCTCTGTTCCAGAAGAGGCTAGAACGCAAAGTTTAGACCCCAGGCCACGTACCATTGAGACGTTGAGAGTTAATATAGCTTTAGGGAGCCGTAAAACAGGCAGGAAACCAGGTAAGGTGTTCACCTTCAGATTGCCGGCGGGTGTACATAGTGTACATACTTCTATTCAGCTTGAGTCGAAACACAGCAGACGCTGGGAGCTAACGGTACCAATCAAACCGCGTTAAAAGCTGAATTAACTGTGCCTTCTCAGTTTATGATTAGTTCAATTACACTGTAAAAAAATACACTGTCGTGTTTACGGGTATTTGACTGGCATACCCGGCTGCCAAACATTTCCTGTAAATCTGACAGTGCACCGTATTTCAGGTATTACGTCTTTTGTTTTGGATGATGTTCATTTTACAGCACGCTGTAAAAATAAAGGGATAGACTCTGTAAAATGGTTTATTTTTACAGTCACTTAGACGGTATATTTGACAGGAACTGTAAACACTTTTGTACTTTTTACAGCTACCTGACTGGTATATTCGGCTGCCAAAACTACTACTCCTGCAACAATAACGATGCGCCTTGTTCTTTCCATCTTGCCGTAAGAAGAGACGCCATCTAGCTCGACCGTGTCCCAATCACTGTAGTTATCCTGGTGGCCGCCAGGTAACCCCAATGGTAAGTCTTCAAAAGTCACATGCATTCGAAAATAAAGCTCCACCATGCTATGGTAAAGACCGGCAAGCATGGAGTGTTTAGCCATAGAAGCACGCAATATGTGTGGTAAAGCGAAGTTGACCCTGGAAGAGCACAATAGAGTTCAGCTTGGATGAGCAAACACACAGTTAATGTGCCTCTCTAAGCTAAAGAGATTATGTGCTTCCCAGTCCTTATCACCATGATAAAGCTTTCTTAAATTTTTGTGCATTTTCCAACAATACTACACTCGGCCGTCTTCGACATCGAAGTCGTCACTTAAGACGATGTTGTTCTTAACGGCAACGTCGAAGATATTAATGTCGTTTACATATTCTGTGTGCTTTAAAAGACCTTGAACAGTGTCGGGGGCAGCGTAGCAATCCAGTGTATCGCGTTTCTTATAAGAACGAGCCCTATAACACATTCTGTAATAAAACGTTAGTTGACAGCTTTATTGATTACTGTGCAACCTTCGAATTTTGATGCCCTTGCCAAAGTATTTCCTTGAGCTTCCTAATTCGGTGAACCCGCATTGGGTCTGTCGGTGTTCAGAGCCTCGGGAGTCCGTACTCTTCCCGATTCCTGGAGCTGTCTGGCGTCCAGCTCTGAAGTCTCGCTTTCTTCTCAGCGCATGTTCACAGGGAGATTTTTCAGTTATAGTTCCTGAAGAGCAGGAACATCGCGGGTGTGATACACACGGTGTAGAAGCGTCATGGAAGCTGACCGCCAGATGACTTTCTGAGCAGTGACGAACACAGCTGTAGTGACCTGTGCGTGCCAAAGAGATAGTTCTGTTAGCATAGTATGTCGATAATTACTCAAATCTGCACGGAAAAAGAGAATAACGTATATTGATGCAAGTAAACAAGCACGAAGATGATGAATCAGCATATTTCCAGCCAGCTTTTAAGGAGCCGACAGCATCACATGAACGGCAACAGGCTTTTTTTAAATTATGGCAAATCTTGCACAGACAGGGTAATAACCACGACATTTTTCTTTTTCTTCCTTCGACCCTCTATTCCATCACTACGTTTACTTTTTCTGAATAAAGTAAGTACAAGTTGCTTGGAATGTGCAGGAGGGTAAATTCAAATCCTGGAAGGGAATGTAACTGCACGAAAAGACATCAAAAACCACTTTGTTGAATGCGTGGAAGAAGTGGTGTTCTATTCCACTATCGTGTGGGCGATATGTAGGACAGAGAGCTCATTTTCTGAAATACAAGCAGCAGCAGCACCGTTACGATGTATATGTAGATGCAACGGGAGAGCTTGGTGTACCCGAAATCAAACTTGTCTAGAGCCATCTAAGAAATTCTGATCCAGAAAATAACTAATGGCTGATATCCCAGTGACATGTTTAACCGAAATAAAGATATGGGAGATCTGCAGTGGGACAGAAAGAAGACGTCTAACTTAAGATAACTGAAAGATTGTGCACCAAAACGTGTAAAAACACCAAAATTTGCCCGGAATAGGCTTAAGGTTTGCTCTCGACGAGTTTGATTGCAGGTGTAGATTGCCGAGAGTGCTGTTCCATCCATATTTATTTTCAAAGATAGTGCAGTGCTTGATACAAATAAAAACAAAACAATTAAAAAAGTTTGGAGGTTCACAAGGTAAAAATATTAGGGCCACAGTGTGTCAGCACGCCTTCACTGGCTTTCTCCGATAAAGAACTGGAGTACTTTGGCCAAGGGAGAGGAACGAGCAACAGTGGTGTTTTTGATGAGTGACCTGTATGTTTTTAGCCTTATAGTTTTCTTCATTTTTTTCTATGGCTTGTTGTATTGACGTCGGTTGCTAATATTGACGTCGGTTGCTAAAACGATTGAAGTTTCAACTGTTTTTGTGAAACTTGAGAATGAGGTATGTGAAAGGCGATGACACAAGAAGAAAAGAAGGTAGCCTCAAATTGCGGGATTGTACTTAATGTTAAGCTTTAAAACAATATTGAGACTCCCTCCTTCTCTTCTTGTGACAACGCCTTTCGTATACCTCAGTCCCAGGATTCAACAAAATCTTTAGTGCACACCAACTCACTCGCGCCCTTACGCTCTGTCTGTTAAAGCTTAAGTTGTAATTAGGGCCATGTTTGTGTCCTTCCTTCTTGTCCTCATCTTTGTGCTGTATTTTATTGTTACTGCTGTACCGTAACCGCAAACTGGTCACAGAACACTATAAACTTGCCTATATGTCCTACTGAGACTCCGTTATTCGTTGAAATAGGTTGAGCACTCGATTGTTCACTTGCCTTCTCCCTTTCTTGGCCTTGCTGCCACGGCCAAGATTGATGCCGAGAAGGGCCCTGAATGGTAATCATTGAAAAATAAAACAAGTTGACAAACAAATTCCACATATGTGAGATTTCGGCCTAATAAACTACTTTGCTCTTTGTAACGCTCTACCATATTGGCGCCCTGCGTGGATGCCGATTTCATTCTCTGCATTCGTTAGAGTTTTAATCCACATCCGCAATTTTTTTCGATCATTTTATTCACACCCAAACTTCATTCGCAAGAATCAGAACTGCATTCAATTTGTAGTTCACAGATTTGTAACAACATCACTGCGTGACGCACGTTAAAGTCCCTAGGCTAGCGGTCGTTCAGCACTGAGTAAATTGTTCATCGACAAAGTACAGACATATCTCATCACTTGAATGACAGACAAACACTGTAGTGTCCAACTATTCCCACACAAATCTACCAACTCAAGCGTGAATGATAAAGAAAATACATATTGAATGGAAATCACACTTTTTAAGTCGTTTGTTTTTATTTCTTTTGATACAAAATCTAGTGCAAACCATAGCAAGCCTCTGAAAATGTATGCAACATATAAACAATGGGCTTCTCACTTCATGCCATTGCGAAGATTGTGGCCTCTAATGGAGCACCAGAGTACTCCGAACCAGGGAATGTGTTCAAGGAAGCTTGAAATTTGCATTTTTACCCGTGTGCATGCAAAGCACTTTGGACCTACATCTGGTCCACACCCGCAGCACATGGCATCAGCGTCCGATCCGCAACCCACCAAATCTGACTCACGTTTATCTGCATCCACCAGCTGACCTCGGATATGAAGGGATTTCGATATTTTGTTATATTTCTTTGCTTAGAATGTTAATACTTTGTTCTTTTTTATATATTTAAATCATTGTGCGACAGGAAGTATACAACATTCGCTAAGAAGCAACGTGCTATTCTTGGGAAAGAGATATAAGTTGGTACACGAATGGAGATATCCTAAATGTGTTTTAACAAAGTTAAACGGGTGGGATATGTATTACCGGATGATATAACCCAGTATGTGAAATGGCTATGAATAAAAACATAATAAAGAAAAATTGGGATAATGTATTAAAAATAGTAGGTGTCCTTTCATGGGCCGTAAGCTGTTTTTCATTTCAGATGCAAGACACTGGTCGTAAGTTTTATGTAAGAGTCGAAAACAACCTCAATAAATATAGTGATTAATAGCATAAATTGAATTACTTAAAAAGTAATTACAAGAAAATATATGGGATGCATGTCCTTTAAACTAAATCATAAATGGTGTACTGGTGGCATTTATTTTGAAACAACTAGGGCAACACCATTGCAAAGTTGTTAGTAATGTCAGCTCTATATTTTTTCGAATAGGAAATTATTGTCTCGACAGTAGTATGTACAGCAGTGTTATCAGCATTAAGGAGCACTTGACACTGTGTAAAATGGGCTATAATTGAAGTCTAGGTACGCCTGTTTTATATATCTCAAAAATAAAAACAATATCACAAACATAAACGGCATCTTTTTTATTAAATAAATAGCTTTTAATACATGTGTGCATGGGACCAGCAATCATTTTACACTAAGTTTAATTGTTAGAATAGTGTCATTAAATCAAAAGCTTTGCTGTAGTATTACACAGATTGCCAAATTAGTTTCCTGTGTCTATAACATTTTTAATGTTGTCAGTAAGCCATACAACTGTTAGGTCAGTAGAGTACCAGCTCGAAATCTCAACTGATGGGCTGAAAAAACGTCAAAGTTAGGGAAGTATTTGGTTCAGCACCTTTCAATCTTCTTGGCAGAAGCGGCAAGTCAGCAGCATATGTATAAGCCGCTACCATGAAGGAGTAAACTTTAGAATATACATGCCTTAAAACGAACATCGAATCGAACTTTGCAAAGTGCCTTGTTTTGCTGAGATCAGTGGTATTTATATGCCAACTATAATAGCAGCTCAATGTGCTCAACACACAGCAAGGTTTGCGAACCAAATTACCCAAATATGTATACAGAAGAAATCAAAGGTACCTCCGGTTGAACGTGAGCGTAGATGAGACTTCTTGAGCGTAGCAAATGTGGAATGAAAAGTAGCTGGCAAACAGCATGCAGAAGGCGACCTTGAACTCTGGTGCAGTTGCCACAACGTATCCATCAAGGAGCAGCAGCTATTCTTCTGGAGCTCAAATGGCATCTCCTGGAGGTATTAAAGATGAAAAAGTCTTCTTTAGAAACACTAGTGCGTATTTTTCTATGCATATCTGGACTGCCAACAAAATATGATAGTTCTGAACAATTTTGCAATAGTACATCACTGCATGAACGCAAATGATTAGCTCTTCGAAATGTGACATAACGTTCATTAATTATCGAAGCACAGTTACCTTGTAGTAACTGTATGTGCAGTGTCTGCAAGGATCACTATATGTATACAGCTTTTTCGTTTAGCCTCGTACACAGCCACGTTCTCCCCATATCCGGTATGCGTTCCGATAAAGCAAAAGATTTTAAACCGGAGAAAGAAACAAGATATAGAAAGGATATAAGGAATGACGGTTGCAATTAAAAAGTTAACATGTTCTATTTGCGAGGTGAGAGGAAAGCGATGTTTTCACGCATACCGGACGTTCCAGAATTGAAGATGGCGGCGTCCACATAGAAAAGGTGTATAGCACACTGAATGACGATTGTACATCAAGCATTGCCAAATGCACAAGCGCATAAAGCAATACCTAATGCATGCACATAAATACTGTTAGTTCAAACTTTTCAACTGTCAAATCACTGTCAATTACATCAACTACTGAATAAATTCCTGCATGGTGTGACTGCTGGTCTTCTTCAAGGGAAGAATACAAGCCAAAATACGTGCATTGACCGCTGACTTCCTAAAATAAGTCATAAAAGGGGTTGGGTGGTTTTTCATTAAAGATATTGATGAAATCTTTCTGGCGAAGGATCATTTTGTAAGAAAACAATTTTTTCATAGATAGAGATTTACACGCCGCGAGAAGTTTACTGTAAGTGACCGATAATTTGGGAAATAATTTGTTGCGAATTGACCTAAGAATTAATATAGGAATTCAGCTCCACGTTAAGTACCTGACTGGCACAAGTGATCAGGGAATTAAAATAATTATAAAAATCATATCAGAGAAATGCCACACATCTGACCAGATGCTTCTCCACCGGCATCGTTCATGACAAAGTGATTAACGTTTTTCTGTGATGAGTACTAGTGAACAATTTTGAATTAATAAAGGAAGCCTTTAACCTTGTAATGATTCAGTATACTGGCTAATTGTGCCCCATAATATTTAAGGCGTAACAATCTGCCATAACAAGTGTTTCTTACAAGATATTGATTTTAAAACGGGGCACATAATGCAATACATGTGTATAAACAATTTCACCAAACTTACAAGCCACAATAATGCAAGGGGAAAGTGGAGCATCTGGCCGTATTTCTATCTCGTCTGAACTTAAGCAGGCCTGGAGAAAGGAGAGAAAACACTGCTCAGTTGCAGGAAAGATCTGACCAGTGTTACACAAGATGTTAGAAACCTGCACTTTACACTGACAAAAAGTACTTTTCTATTAGTTCAGCACATAGCACTTTAATATTGTTCATGGTGCTAAGTAACTGTTATTAGTGATAAATTGGCATGGAAATGCTGTACGCATTACTGCTCTCGAAAATTACAGGGCATTTGATATATCTGTATGAATTACGTCTCTTGTTTGAAGCAGTCCATGTTGGTGTTCTTCAAACCAGGCTGCGACCATCAGGACAATTCCAAGCAGCTCAGTATGTGGTGATGGTGCATTTCTCATTGCTTTCCAAGCCGCCATAAGACTGCAGAATTGCACTTTTCTTATCCTTGAGTGAGCTTTGCAGCGTTTCAGCACGATCTATTCCAAGCAGAATCTTGAAGTGAACATGAAGGCCATCAGCTCTGAGGAAGAAGGGTCAATCATCCTTCAGCTCCAGAATGGATGAGCCTACCGTTATTTCTTGTTGCAGTGTGGGCATCGATGACATGAGCAAATGTACACCTTATTCGTACGTGGTACCAGCTTCGAACATCTCCTGCAGGGGTACTTTTTCCCTTTTTTTGTTGATTCATCATCTACTCGAGTACTCTCTGTTGCGTGTATGTTACAGCTTGATTTCTTTTTAGCGCACTGGGCAGCAGGGTCCTGTTGCATTCGTGAATTATCCCATTTTATGTCGCCGAGTCGACAAACCAACTGGTTCAATAGAGAGTCATACTCACTACCGATTAGGGTGTCATCAATAACGTATTTGAAAGTAGGTGGATGTGCTTCGACTACTTTGTTAGCAATGACAACAAGATGCTTTTAAAGAGGCTTTGCACACACCTCGTGCACACACTCGATAAGTATTCTGACTATTTTTTGGCGATCTTTAGGCAGTCGGCGCCTTCCTTCCTCGATATCTGTGAGAAGGGTTCTTTGCATCATACTCCTCGGAACCATAAAAGAATTGGCCCAATTTGGGTTTAACAAAGAGCTTGACTGGCCATGTTGCTTATCAACTTTTTCTTTTTGTGCCTCTTGCAATGTTATGGGTGTGGTTCTTGAAGAAGTTTCATTAGAATCTGTAAGAAAAAAAATACAGGCTGAGAGTTGATCATACGAAGAATAAATGAATTGAAAATGTGGTTAGAAAATTCTCGATTCAGAGAAAAAAATATTGGCACAAAATGGTTTTTATTTATTTCTGTTACCCTACAAAAAATAATGTCGAAGTAGGTAGGGCCCCGAGAGCGTGGAGACTAGAGCGCGCATGCCATTGGCACGTTCGTCACAAAGGCGCGCCGCCATTTGAGCGCACGAAGCGAGAGCGCTAATGATACCGTGCATTTTACGCCATTCTCAAATATCCGAGGTTTTCTTAAGCACATTTATTAGTTCTAAACGATTTCGTTTGAAAATGGTTTGGAACAGTTTGCTATATTTCCGATTTTGTGTTTGGTTTTCACAATGTGTTAATTAAACACAATATGTTACAAACTTATTTTCTTAACTTTCACTCTTTCTATGCTTAGAAGAAATAACGGCGAAGTTATCGAATATTATATCTTTTTAGAATGAACAAGGTTTCACTTCTGACTGCGTCCTCGACAATAAAATGGTATCAAGTGAAGCTTTCCGAGTAGATTCTCGCTCAAAAAGACCCTTCGCAAAATAACCCTAAAAGTAAAAAGCGTGCTCAAGTGCACTAGGTGCACATGCTGCACGCAAACGCCTTGTTTGTGAGGTGATGTAAATTTCTTAAATAAAGCGAGAACGAATGCGTGTGCAACGTTTCATTTGATATAGATTTCAACAAAAAAGTATAGAGCTGTAGACGCCAGCAGATTTTGGGATGTGCCAAGAAGGTTAGCAGCGTCCTTGGCACTTGTATAATCTTTTGCCTCGTACCAGATAGTCCAGTGCCACTAAAATGAAACATAAAGTTGCCCAGTAGAACCACAAAAATTTCAATGCCCACATGTGCTCTCGTAACACGCACTTGCCTGTCGTGCGCCCTAACGTCGGCGCTCTAGTGTTATATAGACAAGGATGTTACGCAAGCAGAACGCAAATACTCGACATTTCTACGCACCCAATATTAAATATTGCTTTATGTAAACCAGGTGACAAGTTGAAATCGGCCAAAGCAGGGTGGTTCGTGTAACGAACCAAGACAAATAAAAAAGAAGCAACCATAATTTCGAAGGCCTTCGCACTCACTTGATGCAATCCCTAACAGCAAGATAAAATTACTAATCAAAAATTAGGTTCAAGCAGCAGTAAATATAACTGTTGAGAACCAATTCAATGAATGAAATGAAACTGCTGCCATGAAAAGGGCCATTTGCTATTATTTTGTATTCTGCTGTTCAATATGCCAGATGGAAAGCTTGAAAACAAGATCACTAGCTCTGTCCTTCTTGCTATTCTAAAAAGCATGCGAAACAGAGCTCTTACTGTTTTCCTTGACGTATGTGAGTAGCTTCCGTGATTCTACAGGCCTGATGACGTCACACAAGTCTTGCTCACAGAGGAAAACAAGGTCAGCGCAAGATTCCACGCCCACATCCGATAGTTTAGTCATGACCTTCATCAGTGTCTCGGCAGGCAGGTTGGGGAGCGCTTCCATCACTTGCAGCCGCACGTTTTCCATTACGATACAGGAATTTTGTGCTGGAGCACGATGATCTTCTCAGTGCAAACTTCACAAACAGGTAGTGGAACAACGTCAATGAGATGAATGGCCTTCAATGCACAGTAATTATTTGTCTCCTACACACTGTAGAGATGCAGATGCGACAGAAATCTGCCGTAAAATAGCTTCACAGCAAAGATAACGGTAGCTTTGTTCTTGACAAGATTTACAGCAATTTCCTCAAAGCCAAGTTTGCCTGCCGAGAACACTGGTAAGAAATCTCGGACAGCGTATTTAGTGGCCTTGTAGAAGACTGACTCGGTTGCATCCGAGTTAGTCGGCTGCAAATCAAGATGCGCGAGGCAGATCTTCCTTCGTAGTCCTGTGGACAATATGGAATGAAGGATTTGAAGGTGACATTCGGATCAAAATATAATTCAGCATGCAAGAATGCCTGCAGCAACTGATGCTTTCAGGCAAGTGTTTTCACGACAGCTTTAAAGCTCCTTGCTGCCCGCACACACTTTTTGAAGTACGAGTGTTTACTTTCAAACCGAAGAGACCACCCATTAATCAACGGGCCAAAATAAAGCAGCATGCTTGCATAATGAGTCATATAGTGGTGCTTTAGTATTAGCGACATTGTGATGAAAAGCTCCTGCCTCTCTGCCAAGTATTCTTCAACGAGTATTGCCACATATGCCACATCTTCGCTGATAACTGGCGCACACCATGTCTGCAGTTTTCCTCAGAGTGAGACACAGCACCCACACAGCATCATCGTTTTCAACGTTGTGGTCAACAATCACAGGAGGGAGACGCAGTAAAACCCAAGTTTTCACTGCTTCACAAGCCAACTTGGCGTGAGGGTTGAACTCACATGGCTGGCTCAGTGCATCGGCTCCTTTGTACCGAAAGTTAATTACGGCGTAGTTAAGGTACTGGAAGCTGAACCAGCGTCTTTCCTCAGTGAAATGTTTGAGGAACCACGTCAAATCGGATGTCACGATGCCCTCAAAAAGATCGTGGGCGACGCACGGTGCAGCCCCGAGTTGCAGACATGGAAGCTTTCAAGCTTGTTGAAAATGCTGCTAAACAGTGTACCTTAAAAAAATGCTGCTCTGTTCAGGAGGCAGGGAGTACTGTCATACCTCACAGAAGTTCTTTTTTCACCAGGTAAGTAGGGCTTCTCCTGAAACTCAGGGCGATTTCTTAGGCAATACCGATAAAATTAGATTGAGGAGCTGAACTTCTGAGTACATCCACCGATGAAGTGTGATCCGAGGCTCACCAGCTATTGTTAAAACTGTCCCTTTAAGCTGGTTGCCACGGAAAGAAATGCCTTGATTTTCTAGCAATAGTAGGTCGTATAAGCAATGGCTCAAATATTTTGTCCTGACCAAATGCTTCGAGGTCCGATTCCAAGCATAATACTGCCAGCTGAATATGGTCCCTACTTGATTGGTGGTGCGTCCTGAAGTTCGCAAGTGTCAATTACGTTTCCACAATCTTGTGCTTTTTTCGAGCCGAGCCAAGTGGGTTAGCCACCTCAAAGGCGTCTTGAAACAACAGAAGCTGAATGCTTGTCTCGTGACCAGAGAGTTTATTCTTTTACATAACAAGCCATCTGTTATATCCGCGAGCTGTCCTCGTACGGGTGGGCACTGCGTGCATGCAGACAACCAGCTACGTCTACACATTTTAGCAGTGCTTTCAACGTCTCCAATATGGGGATATACTGAAAATATCGCTCCTTCCGAAACCGAGTACGACCAAGTCTTATGCTTGTAGGAGAAATGTATGCCAGTATGCTCCTAAAGTAAATTATCCGCTTGAAATCGCTGCTGGAAAGGCGAGAATTCAGCGTGCTAAACACATCATCCCTGCACACTTCAGTGACAACTTGTAATGCATCAGCTGTTTCCATTTTGCCTTTCAGTTGTTCCTGTAACTTAAAAATAGTGCATTTCCCAATTATTTTCATGAATATCTTGCATGCACATAACAATGGTTTGTACGGTGCTTGCTGGAACCATCAGGTTTGACTTGAGCTTGATATGGCAAAGGACCGCTCAGCGAAACCTCTCAGTTCCTCGCGAGCCGAGTCTGTCGCTGGCATCTCAATGGCCATTAAACTGAACTCATGAACAGTTGCAGTATAACCGTCACATTCACTTTCGGGTGTAGTGGAAGGGGCCACCGGAGAAGTGTTGCGTCCTGTTTCTAATGACGCCAGCCCAGAAGTTTCTGATTTGACGCCATGTTTTCTTGACAAATGGCTTGGAAGTGAGAATTTTGACCGTATTATGTGCATGCAT